TGGTTATCGTAGTTGTTGTTTTAGCTGTACTAGTCAGCAGGACTAGTAGTAGTAGTAGTAGTAGTAGTAGTAGTAGTAGTAGTAGTAGTAGTAGTAGTAGTAGTAGTAGTAGTAGTAGTAGTAGTAGTAGTGATAGTAGTAGTAGCAATAGTAGTAGTAGTCGTAGTAGTAGCAGTATCCCATGCGACCACAGTTATAACCACGTTTATACATGCTATTATGAGCACAGCGGCCGCCTCAGTAATATTACACAACCTCAGAGACTTCTAGTCGCGACTTACAGCTGCTTCGAGTCTCCGACCGGCACGTCAACCTGTTTAGAGTTGACTAGGACCATTTTGGATGGGGCGAGAAAGTCCCCGGTTTTCACCTCGCGCTGCCAGACCACGGCAGACGTCGAGGACTCAGAGCACGCGAGAGTCACATCGGCCGCCATCTTGCCGAGCTCCCCGACCTGAGTCTATGTGCCATCGACCATAGGTCCCGGATTTGCTACTGGCTGGTGTAGGAAATGCAAGCGGCAATCCGCAAACTGAGTTTGTCCGAGCGGCGTACATCTGGGAATTCGGCCTTTTCGGCTCCAGCCTGTCGAGAATGCCTTGTGCCGCGAACTCTTTGTACCCGTACACACCTTTGCAGTCTTTCGTCTTCACAGCGTTGGGCAGGGGGACAAGCTTGTCATCAATCATGACCTCAGTCAGTAGCATAACATCAGGCGATAATTTGTTAAGACACGCAGAGACCTCATGCTAACATTTTCGAGTTGAGTGAGCACATCTTTGTGCCTGCGACTGCATCGTCATACTGTACTTCACGGCGTCCACTGGAATCGACTTGTCCGACCTAAGATTTTGCGTCGCCGGGAGATATAGAAGTTATGACCAGGTTGCAGACGTTTCAAGAAGTTACAAAAAGCTATGGTCTGTAAGTTCGGAAAAACACTTGAACGTCACACGAAACCCAGGGAATCCACAACGACAGAAAAAAAACAAACCAAGGACAACGACACATTTTATTGAGCCAACCAACCTCCCAACCCACCCACTCACCCACCCAGCCAGCTAGTCAGGATTCGGGTGTGGGTGGGCGCACATCCGTGACCCAATGCCCTGTTTGGCAAGCCCTTTTAGTTCACTTATTCGCTTACTCAGGTTCCCACTCTTAGTCTCTAAACCCCAAAACTTTTACCCCCAACAACCTAAACCCTAAAGCACCCAAACCCTTAGAATTGTGTCCGAAGCTGTGTTGCTGAGTGCCTCCTTACCAATCTCGCCTAGTGGGATAAAAGAGAGGAGCCGGACAGAAGATGACCATCCACAAACAACCAAACAAAACACTAACAAATCATATGTATATATATATATACAAATAATTATTTATGTATATAAACAGTTATAGGCATGGACATAGACAAATGTATAGTGAAAGGAATCCTTCCTAGAAAGACCGAGCCTAACAATAACACTTTCAACAATTACTGAAGCTTACACACGTCGAAAACAAACCATAAAAGTGGTTTAATAAGTTACAACAAGTAAACATGACAATTGTAAGATGGTATTAAGACTTAGCAAATCCTTCAACATTACTTTACCGGGTTCTAAACTCTCACGATGTTGCACAGCACTTTGACCTGGTCAGAGAGCACTTAGACGCAACTTCTAAGACAGATGGTTGGCAGGTTCTCTGAGTCTGGCCAACCCCCAAGGAATGTCTTAGTAGGTCCGAATTGCCGCCAACCCTCCTTCCAATCATCAGGCCTCTTAGACCTCTAATGTCAACAGTCTAAGCAACCATTTCCATTGTCCATAAGTCAGCATCATGCCAAGAATCGTGGCGTTCAAGGAGCCTGACTTCCATGTCATAAGCCTCGTTCCTTTAGGAAGCCGGCGGTTCTGGATGTCCAAGTTCCGGATATGCAACGTCGGGACGCTGCCTGGCTTCAGGTAGATCTCCATTGGCCACGGTCTTTCAAGAGTGGCCACGACGACTGCCGACGAATCCTGGTTCAAGGGCTTAGAGACTGATAAACATGGCACGAACCCATAAACTCCAGACTCCTGAGCCAAGATTCGCTCCCTGTGGCCCTTTCCTGCTTGTTGATCTCCTCCTTCTTCACCTCCTCCGCAGGCGGCACGGAATTCGACTCCGCGGGGGCCGGCTTCTTCTCGTCTTTGGGCTTGGGTAGTGTCGACTCGGCTTTGGCGTTCTCTGTCTCTTTCTTGACGACTGCAGGCTTTTCCGGCTTGGGCTCGACTTTCGGACGCGGCGCACTTTCCCTGCTCGCCGGAACCTGATCAAATGCATCCAAGGTGTGGCCCCAAAAATGTTCTGGGCTGCGGGTGATGAGTGGGGAAACTGGCTGCCGATGCAGCACATTTGCCGACTCCTTCGGTGTCCGCTCGTACTTGTTGTCGCTCTTCTCGCCAAACATCAGGTCCCTTAGGTTCCGCACAGGGTTGGACATTTTATCTGCATGCACACAGCAGACATGAGTGGATTCCAGCACGCATGTTGTAAGCAACGCACAGCATTCCGCGGAACTTCTTGGCACGCTCACCATCTGCCGGCAACTCCTTCGCTTCGTAGGAAGATCCTGCGTCGATCAAAATTGGTGCACCGGATGCAATGCCGGAGCCGTTCGCCGTCTTGCACTTCAGCCTTGGTGTAGAAAACCAGCATCCCGAACGTCGGCAGCTGCAAACCCGAGCATATAATATAGTAGGAGCAGACAGACAGGAATCAAGCTTGCCACATGCGGGTGTCTTTTTACGAAAGATCTGACAACACATTCTTTGATTAGAGAGCTAGTGCTACTGAGCAAGTGACACGTTTAGACAAGACACAAAGATTAACGCATAAATAGACGTCCATCCAATCCAATCCAAGGAACACCATAAAGTCCGAAGTGAATCCCTTGCTGCACTCGATCTCGAAGGCGGCATTGGGGAACCGTCGGATTCCGTTGAAGTGTGCAGCGAAACGACTGAGCCCGAGCTGTACGCTGTAGACATCACCGACTCCCTCATCGTTCTTCACCTCAGTCGTCGAGTGTTTACTCTTCTGCCGACACGGTGACTTTGTTCATTCAACCCCGACATGCTTGAGGCGGAGTGGCGCCAGTCGTCTGGACGACTGATTCGCCCAATGCCGAGTGCCCTGGCATCCGCAAGAAGCTGAACAGCTTCGTCACATTGCCTCGAGAACGAAGAATCAGACGATTGACTCAAACATTTATCTACGGTTCTGTGGCCGGCAAACTCACCCCTTAATGTTGGCAAGCAGCTGAAGTGTGCAGCAGGGCAGTTGCAAATAACGTCGCCGTCCTTGAACGACGTCAAAGCCACCAGAACCCGTCGACTTCCCATCACTTCCAGCTTCAGCTTGCCTGCAACATGCTGCCGCCATGTGCTGCTGTAGGCCGGAGGGGTACACGTCGATCCCAGTAAACTTTTCGCTGTCATCGACCATAACCTCGTGCGGTCTCACGACTTGCTTGTCTTGGGACAAGTCGGGTCCCCGCACGAAGACCAGGTCATCCCGACGAAGCTGCCTTTTGTGATTCGACTCGCGCTCCGCCTGAAACAACAATGACTGTCTCTCGTGCTGCCCGATTACAAAACACTGCCCTCCGAATTGCTGAGACCCAATTTAGAACGTCAACACCGCCCAAGACCTCCTCGGTAAGCAGCGCTTGGGCCAACTCCTTGCCATGTGCGACTGCGTGCGGGCTGCATCGATCGACTAGGTGAAAGCCAGCGAGGCCCTTCTTGCGGGCAGCCAGCATCAGCGCAGGATGTGCTGTGGTCGAGAAACCTAATGAATGTTGACCATTGGACGGTGCAGCCATGAATGCATCTCAGACGCAGTGGCATAGTGCAAGCAGGAAGCAGATCAATGCCTGCGCAGAGTCCGCCCCCAGCACTTCCAGCAGCGGCAACCAAAACGCCGTTGGCGACGCGTGCGGCCACAGCTCCTGAACCACCTTCTGCTGCTTCTTAATAGTGTCAGACGGCGCCTTCATCAAGGCCGCCATACCCTCGTCGACTTCCTCGAAGTGGTTGTCTTCTGGCGACTCGAGGTCTTCTGGGTCGATTTCCTCAGGCTATGATCACAGTATTTGCGCGTATGGAGACAAAGGACCGAGACTCTGCTATATAGAGCACGCAAGAGACAAAGAGAGAGACAGAAAGAGCGCGAGAGAGAGAGAGAGAGAGTGTGTGTGTGTGTGCGATATCCAGTGAGCTCAGTTGACAGAGACACCTCCATCAACAGGCAAGAAGCGGACCGCAGGTTCGTCTCCGACTTGCCCTTTGCCAAGGATTCGGCGACTTGCTTCTTCACGGCCTCGCTCTCTGAGTGGCTTCGGAGAGGGCAGTCCTGAGGCTGGCATGCATGGACGCAGAATATAGCACAAAGTTCAGAAGCTCCTAACAGAACAGGCAGCCGGAGGTCCGGATCGAGGCATCGAAGCCGGAGTCCGTCCTTGGAGCTCCCGCGGACGCTCCTTGTTTGTTCAGGCTGAGCTCACCAAAATCTCTTCCCACACATGTCACAGGCTACATATCTACCACAGTCAAAGAGTCGGAACTGCTACTATGAATAAGGTTCCTGTTTTGTCTCGTTACATGTACATGCTTTGCTGACAGCCCGTTCAGACTGAACTGCTCCACAACAAGAAACCTGCACAACGGCACACGTCCAGTTTAAACACCCGAATACGACATGTACAGGAGCCCGACGGCTGAGCAAAGAAAGCTGAGAATCAGGATGCTGGCGACAAATGGAAGGCTGGCGTTATTGTTGTTGCCGACTGCCGCACCAACCACGAGCGCGCAAAGAAACCTGTTCGACCTTACTTATGCAGCACCCTCGGGGATGACATCATCAACTAGTTGAGACTGAACAAGCGTCCAAGGTTGAGTAATTAAATTCCTCTGTCTGATGCATAACTGAGACACTGCCTGACCGACTGGACGCCGACGGCTGAAGTCAGACTCACGCTGAACGGGGTGCCCTCCATCTCTCCGAACTTCGTCATGACTTCGCTCAAAAGCTTGTAGCGCTTCCTGAGTTCTCTGCTGGATGATCTGATAGTGCAGCTTATTGAATCTACGACAGACTCGGGCTAGTCTAAGTGATGGCCAGGCACCCGACTGGCACGGCAATGGTGTAGCGCTCAAGCTGGCAGGCTTTCGCCAACTTCTCAGCGTCGCTTATGTATTTCAAAACGACTGGAGGCCGAGATGTGGGGGCATTGATCATCAGGATGACCTGCTCAAGGTCATGCAGGCACTGGAACCGCAAGCATTCGCGAAACTACAGCCCTGGGGATCGCAAGCACGAAAAATTGGAAAGGTTGGCAGAGGTCCAACCTTCCACGAAGGGAAGATACGACTCTTGCCCGTCACCCTGAACTCATCCTCGTCTGTGCTGATGAGAATCTTGTCCCACTTCTTGCGGACCGCGTCCTGAACGGCTGCTTGGTCATTGAAGTCACACTTATGAATTATCGAATAATCGGCACAACCGGCCTGCACCTCTCGAGGCAACTCCGACTCATTCTCGCCGACGGTGAGCACCGTGTTCAGCGATGCAACACCTCCGACTCCATCCGATGCGTCGACTGCCTCAGCCTGGCTCGCGGTCTTCTTCTCATCGGTCTTCTTGTCGGTCTTGTCGCCGTGCTTCAGCTTGTTGCACTCGTCGGCAATGTCACGACAGTCGGTGCATGGGCTCTCGGCCGTGTGCAAGGCGATATTCCTTGTGTGAAAGACCCCTGCCGACAGACAGACAGGCCAACGGAACGCACAAAAAAAAAGACAAGCCAGACACCGTCCACAAGTTTCACGCTGAGGGTCTTGCTGATGCACATGCGGACACACGCCAACCCCTCAAGCGACTGCAAGTGATCCAAACAGCGAGCGGTGGCCGGCAGATCCAGGAACAACTTGCCGAACACCTTGTCCATGTTCTTCTCCCAGTTCTCGACTACTTTCCTCGGATTGCGACTCGAGCGACCTGTGTCAGAATCGGAAGTCAAGATCCTGGCCAAGACGCATGGGCTGGCAAAGTTTCTCCTGGAACATCGCCACCGCGATTTCCGGCGATCTTGTCAGCAACTCCAGGGTCTTGACCGCGTAGGTACTGCCGAGTTTGATTTCGCCATTGCCCACGAAGTAGTTGTTGTCGAAGATGTAGCCGTCCGCGAACTGTCGCATCTTGGGCGTCTTGAGTGCCTAGGCCATGTGCTTATCGCTGCGTCAGACACTCGGGAACAAAACGACCAAACCGTGACAAGTAGCCTCACGCACCTCGGGTTTGATGTAGCGCGCCGCTCGCAACCATCTTCCGACTCGACTGCGTGCTGCCTGTCCCATGACGGCCTGCAGGGGGGTCATGTGCGAGGGAGGGCTGCACTGGATTTGCCTATCACAACTCGGCTCATGCAGGAGCTATGGACTTCTTTCACGTGTTTCACCCAATCCCTGTCCAGCATCTTCTTGCTGCACTGGGTCCAATCCTCATGGTTGCACTTGCTCATGAACCTGTCGACTAAGGCCATCTTCTGAACCTAGGCAGTGGGGAAAGCGGACTGACAATGACAAGGGCCGCAGCTTCTCAAAATGGTTGCTGGCTCTGACTCTAGTCGCTGAGACTGGAACCACGGAGTGAGGCATGAATCGGTTCTGTTCCGACTCGTGTCTCTGGGCCTCACCGCAAGTGCAGTTCTTCCCTGAGCCGTAGACTTACCGACTTCTGCAAGCCCTGGCATGTCTCCATGCACCAGGCGCCTCCCAGGCGACGTGGGTCAGCCTGTCGTACCCGTGCTTGTACTTGACAAAGTCGACTATCAAGCCCTCTTCGAACACCTTCACGAGTCGATCGTCCGTTCCCACTATGACACTCTCCTCCTTCGACTCCAACAGGGCACGGTCTTTCCTGAGTTCATGGAGCGCCCCAACAACCAAAACAACATGATCGCAAAAAAAAATGCACGCCGAAGCACTCATCCTTGAACTCAGCATTGAGCCGGACGAGCGCAGCCACCGTGGCCTTGCCGTCCTGGATAACATGCTTGCCGTCGCGATCCATCTCGTCCTTCACCAGCTGCACATTGCCGAGAATTGTTTTCCTCGGTTCGACTGGTCTCAGAACTGTGTAAGACTCACGGCACGGCGACACATGTACGCCCTACCTGCAGCCCAGTTGCTTGTAATTCCCGGCTTTGAAGTGCTGCACGAGCTCCTCGACTCTGGCCTCATCGAGCTCGCGATGTCCACTCATGTCATCGTCCAGACTGATCCTCGGGCAGCGAAAATCAACCCTGTACCTGAAACCCAACACATAACCGAAGCTGAATCCCTCTGCAAGCTTGCGCCCGTGTCGGAGCAGCCCTTTCTAAGAACACAAGTCCTGTCGCTTTGTGACTATGTAAGTTCAACCCCGCATGGTTCATGTGGACACGAAGAGAGAAGAACTGCATCTTTGAGAGTGTCTGAAAACCCACGCATTTGATTGACTCCGAACATGATTATCGTTCGTTTCTGAACTTGAAGTTGCACAGGACTTTTGGCCTGTATAATCTACGCTGATCCCACCCATATTCCTTGTGGTTATGTTTTACTTGTATCGCTAGTAACCAGTAAATCAAATGCGCTCGGCTTATGGCTTATGGATGCAACTTTAACCATGAAATCGGTGTTGTTGTTGATCCCTCATGTGTGCATCTTACGGATTGGGCAACTCAGCGGTTGATGACTCTTTGCAGCGAAACGTCTTGGACAGACCGACTAGAACACCACGATCACAAACATCCGGTCCCTGGTCCTCAGCAAACGCGAAGAGCTGCTGATATCTAGGAATTCCCTCAAGTCAGACTCCACAGCGACACTCACAATTAGTAGGCTAGATATGTGCACAGAGTCCAGGGAGGTGCCCTTAATGTTCGCTTTCGCCGGAGCCATGTCGGATCTACGACTGGCGGGAAAAGAAGGGCGTGCGACTTCCTGTGCTTTGAGCACTCGACGACTGCGACTCAGGAAAAAGCAACGACTCAAACAGCACATCAAAGGTGTCGAACCGGCGCCGAGCAGGCGGCAAGGAAATTATGTGCAGCTCGCTGTAGCCAAATCAACCTGACTGCGAACAAGGCGGTTTGCAGCTAGTGTGGCAGCAAACGAAGGCTTCACTGGATCTATCTATATATATATATATATATATATGTCCTGAGCACTTTCCCCTACAAACAATGCTGTGTCTGCCGGGGCCGGGAGGGGGTGGCAAGGTCTTCTAGCGGAAGCTCGCAGCGAACTCCTGCAAAGGGCACCTTGCCGGGGGGGGGGTGGCAAGGTCTTTTATCGGGAGCTCGTAGCGAACTCCTGCAAAGGGCCCCTTGGGGGGGGGGGGGGTGGCAAGGACTTTTATCGGGAGCTCGCGGCGAACTCCTGCAAAGTGGGGCGCCGAGCCAGAAGTCCTGATGTCTGGGGCACCCAAAACCTTGCCCCAGACATCGGGAGTTCTCGGAGAACTCCCGATGTCTGGGGCAAGGTTTTGGGTGCCCCAGACATCAGGACTTATATCTTAAGAGTCTCCGTAGTCTACGGCCAGAAGTCCTGATGTCTGGGGCGCCCAAAACCTTGCCCCAGACATCGGGAGTTCTCGGAGAACTCCCGATGTCTGGGGCAAGGTTTTGGGCGCCCCAGACATCAGGACTTCTAGCTCTGCGCGCATCTTGTCTTGCTGCCGGATTGGGCCATTATGGTTCTCTTCTTGCTGCCAGAACACTGCGGCGACTGCAGCCGAGGATGGGTGCCGGCTTGCCGAAGACAGCACCTGCAAGTCGGCTCGTGTGACGTGACGAGTGACGGAAATCGAACAGCTGTAACACTGTAGACGGCAAAACCTCTGCAGCACTGCATGCATTATTTTTTCCAGATGCAAACGTCGAGGTTTCGGTCGACTCTGGTACACAAAGAATGCCCGGAAAACTGGCAGTTGCAGACAGCAAATCTCTGCAGCAGTGAGGGCACTGTGTTTTCCTGATGTCGACGTCCTGGACTCTCGACTCCGCTGTACCAAAAACTGCGGGCCACAGTCACACGACGACTAGTTCATGATATACTTGCATACATACATACATACATATATATATATATACATATATGTACATATCCTTTGTGCGACTGCTGCCGTCGGCGACTACTCACGCCAAGTCGTCTGCAGGCGGCTTGATGATGTTCTTCGTCACTGACGGCGGCTCAGACTCAATCCCTGCCTCGTCCGTCTTGATGCGCTTGGGATTCTGCTTGAACGACTCTGACGGCCCCTCGGACTCAATCCCTGCCTCAACCGCAAGGCTCTTTCTCTCCTTCTCCGCCATGGCCAACTCCCCCTTGAGGTAAGCGATGTGCTCATCCAACTTGTCCACGTCGCGCTTCAGGAACCCGACTCGCATGCCATCCACGACATCAACGAGCTTCTCGACTTTCCCTTGGCCGTTCAACTTGGTCACGACTATTTCATACGTGTTGACAAAGGCGGTTGGCAACACCTGTGTGCTCGACCAGATCTCCTCAGTGAGATGGGATGCTTGCAACATGTGTGAACTCTTGACCGTATAAAAAGCCAACTGAAACCAATATGTGACACATGCTGTAACCTGGGCACTGCAAGCGGGCTGGTGTCGCGGTTGATGAAAGTCAAGCCCTCCGGAAGCGACTCCAAGGAATGGACCTCCACCTCGATCTCGGTTCGACTGCTCTTCGAAGCCAGCCAGCTCAGAAGGGCGCAGCCGCTGCCGCTGGGGAAAAGGAGCTTGGACGAATCGGACACGCCACTGGCCTCAACAACGGCTGAACGTGTGACCGCAAAGAATGTGCAACTGCAACGAGTCAGAGCGCTCTTCAGCTTCCTGCCTTGCCCAGCATGTTCTTCAAAAGAACCGACTCGACTGCCTTCTGCAACTCCGGGTCCTTCGCATTGAAGAATTGCCACATCATCGACTGCGGCGACTGCGGCCTATCCGGCTTCTCCGTCTGCATAAGCTTCGTCCCGACGCAGCACGACCAGCACGAGATCTCCAGGTGCGGGTCATTCAACATCAGACTCTTGATGTCAAAGCCGTCCTTCTGCATGACAATCTTGCCCTCTTGAAAAGCTTCCTGCGGGCGAAGAACCTTGACTTGGATCATCATCAGAACCTCACAGCTGACACGCGCAACTCATTCCCACAATGTTTAAGGCCACCCCGCGCCTTGGTTGCCAAAAGATTTGCACCCCCGGCATGCGATCGGCGGAACAGCATCGACTTGACACCGCTCGACGTGAGCGAAAACCCAAGGCTCTTCGAGCCGACTCGGAAAGCTTGATAGACGGCCTGCACAACAAAGGTGTTCATGGCACAAGAACCTAAGGACTACCTCTTAATTAAGGAGTAAACCTGAAACTAGAAAACTCTGTGCGCTGCACGCAAACCTGAAGCTCCGAGTTGAAGCATTCTTTCCTTCCGGCACGCTCGGAGCGGGCCAAATCCCTCTTCATCTCCTCGAAACCACCAACTGGCATCGCGAAATAGCCCAACATGGCGACTAGTGTGCGACGCGATGACCGACTAGATTGCAGGACGTTCGAGCTTGAGGAGCGACTGCGATTCGACTTCGGGCACGAGGTCATGCCCTGCCACAGCAGCCATACATGGCGTCCACTTCTGCTCCACAGACAGATGCGCGAACAATGGCCATTTTAGCGGTCTTCGACTAGGCGGCTGAGAGGCCTTTGCAGAAGTTTCGCAGCTCCCCTACGTATATAAATAGGCATGGCCGAAGCTTTGCCCCAGCTGGCGACCGGTAACTTGAGGGAAGACGACTCTGCACTTCAATCGAATTTTATTGGACGACTGCTGTGCGCTCTCTGCAAAAACTTCGCGACTCCCCTACGGACTGCATGGCCGAAGATGTGCACCAGAGGGCGCCTGGCAACTTGACCTCTGTTTCGCCACTCCCCTACATTGCGCATGGCCGAATCGAAGCTTTGCCCCAGCTTGCGACCGGCAACTGTAGGGAAGACTCTGCAATTTAGTCGACTTGCAACTTGAGGGAAGACCCTGCATTTTGTCTCGACTAGAACTAGACAACTGCGCGGCCTGTGCTTTCAGCTTCGCAGCTCCCCTACATGGCGCAATTTCCCCAGCTGGCGACCGGCAACCGAAGGGAAGACTCTGCAATTTGGTCGACTTCGACTACAGTGCTGTGCGGCCTCTGCCGAAGCTCAGCGACTCCCCCACATTGCCCCAGATACCGACTGGACTCCGGTTGTCTTATAAGCCGGTGAGCAACTACCGCTGCACTGTGATGTAGCCCAGCTACCTGCTGTTTACACAACCGGAGCCCTAGGCTGACGCGCCAGAATCATCCTCGCCGTGTTGAGATCTTGCTTCTTGATCTCCACCTTTCCTCTGCCATCAGCGGCAGCCTGATATGCACCAAGCTGGCTCACCACACAGTCCTCTGTCAGGAACCATCTATCTAGGGCTTGGTGTGGAGAATTTAGAGTCTTGGCATTGTCGGTCCTCCACGCCACATTGCAGAGCCTTCAACGCCTCCTTGCTGAAGACGAGCTCTCCGGCCTCCAGCTCATCCAAGCACGCGTTCGCGATGTTCTCGAAGTGCAGTGCTGGAATGCAGCACGACGTGCTTCTTTGCGCCTTTGCGATTGCGCTCTCCACCTGACGGGGAACGGCTCTTTTGCGAGAGTGGGAAGACAAGAAGCAAGCAAGAAGCCCAGGCCGATCCTGCCGCTTGAACTTCTGCCCTTTCTTCGGGCCGGCCCGACTCTTGGCCTTAAGGAAAGAGACGTCGGCAACCAACATCATCGAAAGCTTCAACATAAGTACATGCTGCAATCGTCATCACAAGACTCTGCAGTTAAGGCACGACTTCTGGCCCCTTGCCACCAGGTTGGACCGACTGCTTTCCACGCAAGCGACGAGCCTTAAGGAAAGTCGTCCCTGCAAAACGTCGGCAACCAACATCATCGAAAGCTTCAACATAAGTACATGCTGCAATCGTCATCACAAGACTCTGCAGTTAAGGCACGACTTCTGGCCCCTTGCCACCAGGTTGGACCGACTGCTTTCCACGCAAGCGACGAGCCTTAAGGAAAGTCGTCCCTGCAAAACGTCGGCAACCAACATCATCGAAAGCTTCAACATAAGTACATGCTGCAATCATCATCACAAGACTCTGCAGTTAAGGCACGACTTCTGGCCCCTTGCCACCAGGTTGGACCGACTCCTTTCCATGCAAGCGACGAGGGGCTTTAAGGAAAGTCGTCCCTGCAAAACGTCGGCAACCAACATCATCGAATGCTTCAACATAAGTACATGCTGCAATCGTCATCACAAGACTCTGCAGTTAAGGCACGACTTCTGGCCCCTTGCCACCAGGTTGGACGGTCTCGTCGGCTCGACGGTTCATGTATTGTCGAAGGGCTGAGTACCTCAGTGATGCAATGATGTGAAGTGTGGAATGAAGTCCGGTCTCAGTCAAGCCGCCCAGGGCTTTGTGTCACAAAGTCTTCCTCCACGTCGGGATGTTTGAGAAACGTTCCCTTGTCGACTGAAGGCAGCTCGAAGAAGTCAAGATCGTGCTTGGCCTGAAATTTTCCGCTGCTCAGACGACGAGCAGTATCTAATCTACTGTACTGCAAGTCCTTGGCAAATCCAACATAAAACAGAGAACGAGGTTCCGAGCCTTTTGCTGCATGTAGCGGATCTCTGCCTTGAGCTCCTCAAGAGTAATGTTCCAGTACGCCGACTGGTTTGCCCAGACTCTCTTGTAAAAATCGGCGCAGGCGGCCCCACTTTCGTCGGAGCAAACCACATGTGGAGCCCTCACCTCTGTTCGATGCGTGTCGTTTCCAGCTACAGCTCAAACCGAAACAATGTGTGAAGACACTTGCTTGCCCACTCTCTATGCAGCCAGGCATCGCCCCTTGAAGCCAATCGCAAAGTCTTGAGACAATGCGGCATGCCATAGGCGAGCGAGCGAACCATGCTTTCGGATCGTCGGACAGAACGCCGACAGAAGCCGAGTGGCGGACGACTGAAGCCGACTGAAGGCGACTGGTGGACGACTGAAAATACGACTGTAAGCAACAAATCAGCGGATCACATGACCAGATTCAGAACGGCACCGTGCTGCAAAGACTGTCCATGAAACATGTATCACACGTCCCGCAGGTGCTGCTCCCAAGGGCACCCTAGGCACAGACTGATGCACGGAAAAAGCCTCCGCAAAGCGAACGCACCGGCCGTCAGCTGCTAGCCTCAAAATTGCAAAACCAGAGCAGGAAAGTTTAAAGTACAGGCTGTGTTGAATCAGCTCTTTCACTCAGACTTAGGAGCCCTTGCTTTTGCCTAGATCAATTCTTCCAGAAAAGAAGTTCGTGTTTTATGAACTCACGACGACTCCTTGCTTCCGAAGCCTGAGTGTTGCTGGCGTGGACTGGCTCGACACTGATTAATACAATCCTATATATATATTATACCAACAGAAGTGTAGGCTGCGTTGAAATACCTCTCGGACTTACAACGAACAAGAACTGTAAGCTGTATTGACCAAGCCCCAGCCAAAGCCCTTGCTAGGTCATGGATGTATAAGCCAGATTGATGATTCTTCCGGGAAGAAATCATTTCTGCTGATGGAATGACCAGGATAAATGCTTCCGTACTGGTGCTGTCCTGGATTGACTTCCCACACAAACAGAAGTGAAAAATCTACCAAACTTGCAGCCCTCAGTCTACTTCATGGATTTGTAAGCCAGATTGATAATTCTTCCCGACAAAAATCAGTTCTGCTTATGTGTTAAAGAACGGGCTTCACTAAGCTTCCTACTCTCAAACTGAAGCGGTCACTTTTCCTTGTGGGTCACTGTGTCCGCTGGTCTCGAGCCTTGCACGTCGCGTGTGCGTGACGGCTGTTCCTGTACATTAACTGCACTGCACTAACTGTGTTACTGTTCCTGGCAAGATGTTTAACACCCCGCCTTCGGAGTTAGCGAAAGTTCCTCGACTGAGGTGACTCCGCCTTTTCCTGTCAACAGTAAACACACTGCAGTTCCTTTTCACTTGCAAAACAAACACTCTGCCTCATCGCAAACATATGTTCCTATGTTCACTCGCAATCCTCTCCAAGGTTGCTCGACTGTACAAAAGACGTTCCTTTACTATACTTAGATCACCACAGAAACAAAAAGGGCTGTGCCACGGTTCCTGTGTCCTGCTGCTTCTTTCCTCGGCTCTCTGGCCTCAGTACTGCTCGCTGTTCCTTTGCTTCACTGGAAGGTCACTTCGCCGTCGTCGACCTTGTAGACTTTTACTCCTTCTTCTTCGTTGCTGACTTCTTTCTGTTCCTTGAGTTCTTGCTCTAGCCACTCTGCACGCTGCCTTGCTTGTGCCATGCACTTCTCTTTTCCTTGCTTGTCTCTTGATCCTGCTTTCCAACCTGTTTCCTTTGATCCGGAATACCAGTACCACTGCGTCTTGACTTCGTTCCACTTCCACTGGTAGTTCCTGTTCTGGAAACCGTAGACTGCAAACCAGTTTCCTTCAAACTCTCCTTTTCCTTTGCCCTTCATGAACGATTCTTCGTTCACTGGTCCTTTGGCGGAAAGTTCTGGGTCGTCCTTTCCTCCTTTCCTTTGCTGCTGCTGTGTGACACTCGGTGGCTCCTTTCCTGTTCCTTTTCCTTCTGGCTTCTCCTCTTCTTTTGCTGGTGTTGCTGGTGCTGTGTCTGGTTCCGTGGGTGCCTGCGACCCGGCTGCTGAGCCTCTGCTCTCAAGCTCCTGTGTAAGGCTTGCAATTCTTTCTTTATCCTCTTTGCGTTCCTTCATCATCTCCTTCATCATTTCTTCAAGCTTCTGGATCCTGTCTGCTTCTCCTGATCCTGTTGCTGTTGTTGCTGCTGCCTTATTCTCTGCTTCCTTCTTGGCAATGTACGCTGACGATGCCTTTTGATCCTCCTCTCTCTTCTTCCTGGCTTCCTTCTCCTTTCTTTTCTTCTCCTGTTCCTTTCTTTCCTTTTCCTCTTTGGCTGCTGCGGCTGCTGCTTCTGTCTCCTCCTTTTCCTTTGCCTCTCTCTCTGCTTTTGCTTTGGCTGCCGCTTCTACCTCTCGCCTTCTCTCGGCGGCTGCTGCGGCTTCT